TGCTACAATCATTTAGATTAGATGAAAAATTAATAACAGTCCATAGACCAGGATCAGGAAGCTTTTGTGTTTTGACCTGTCAATCATAACATTTTTATGGACAAGGCTTTCTGTTTTCATGAATGGTAACTACACCATGAAGAAGCAATCTTTAACAACCTTTTTTGGTAAAAAATACTGGACCTTCTTATATTTTGGGACCGGTTTCTAGCAGAGGCCTTACCAACAATATAAGGATTTGCCTTAATGACTAGTAATGTTACTCCAGTTTCTTTGCCATGTTCAGACCACAGTCCTCAATGGGCAAGTAGCTTTTTGAACTCCAGTAATTAGTCCTGCCTTTAAATTCCTGTACTACAAAGGGAACAAATTAGTATATGAGGGCTCTAAAAACAAAATTGCAGAACTTAATGAAGAAGGTGATGCTGACACAATAGTTTAGTTGCCTTTTCCGTGCAAAAGTATTCTCAAAGCTGATGGGCTTTGAGAATACTTACCTACTCAGAGTAGCCTGTAAGGTCAACAGAACTGATATAGAGGCTGGGGCAATTACAAACGAAACACAGAAAAGGAAAGGTGATGAGGACAGAGAGTGTTCAGTCCATCCCTTTATGGACCTTGAGCAAGAACTTACTGGCAGTACAAGCATTTTGTGATAGCACAATATATCTCAGTGCCTTCCTCCCTCTCCCCATCTTCATACCTGATGGCCAAACTCCACAGCTTGGTACAGTCTAGATTTTTTCCCCATTTCCTTTAGGGAAGTAAGTAGCAGAATAAATAGCAAGGAAGGAGACAAAGACTCAGAGTGTCAGTATATGTAGAGCAGGATGTCAAATCACACCTAAGAGCAGTCTTTTATTTTCTTCTGCTTTTAAAATTCTAATATTATTGGGGGAATGAGATATAAAAAATAAAAAAAAAAAATGCAGCAAGATAGCTAAAGATAACTCCAGAGGAGGTAAATGCAAGGCTACCAAATACACGAAAACAACTTCAAGGCAATAGCAGAATTTTTAAAACAAATATGCCTGGGGAGCAATTTTTCTGTGCTTGCAGTCAGCTTCCAAGTGTGTTCCCTCTGCTGAAGGGAGCATGTGCTTAACACATGTGCTGGCTCAGGATTAGGCAACTGACAGTTGTGGGTATTGCAGGATATGCTGACATTCCTTAGCAGCTCTACTGGAAGGGGATTATATATCTCAGTGATATCAGCCTGAGAGAGACCCCGGGAATAAGGAGACTGTCACATGTCAGTAAACGGTCACTTAAAATGTAAGCTTTGAACACTTCTATCGCAAACTCCCCATCCCATCCTCGTAACTCAACTGCGAAGCCTAGGAGGAACGAAGGGCATCAATTACAATGAAACCCTCCTTTCCAAGAAGGAAATCAGCCTTTCTGGCCACCAGCTGTAACAGCTCCCCATGGGACCCCTGCCATCCCACTGGACCCCAGCAAGCAAGCTGCCTACACAGCACCTGTACTGGAAGGCAGGATGCAGTGCTGGCAGTGCTGTGCCCGGCGCACAGTCTCTCTCGTCCCCACTGCCCCAGCAGTTCATCCTCCAACGACAGCATTTTGAAAATGTCAGGAAAGAGAAGGCAATTTCATGTGAGAAATGTAACACTGCAAGTCCTGACCTCTTCTGACCATCACAGATCCTGCTACACTTCTTTCCATGACAACAATTCGTCTCGTGGACTTAACTCCAACTTGTGTAGCTGTGTTTGCTGGGCAATTATACTTTCTTAAATTATCCCGGCAGTTTCAATTAGCCTCGGTGCTATTCACTTCCTTTCAAGATGCCGTGAGTGTTAAAGCATGCTGACAAGCAGCTGTTATGTTTCACCCAAAAAGTGACTGCATGGCAGTGGCGAGTGAAAGCCATTCCTGTGCAAGCAACGTATCCTTGCCCAGGACTAGAAAATGCTTTGGGGTTCCTTGGGGGTAGTGATCAATGTTACATAAGTGTAGAGTAATAGTTAGTTATCAAAGAGTAGAATAACTCACTGCAATGTAGCTAGGATGCTCTGGGTAATTTCTTTTTTGTAATTTAATATAATCTTGTAAAAACCTTCTGCTTTTGGTGGGTGAGTAGAGCTTCATAGCTCAAAAAAAATGAAGTGAGAACTATTATAAATTCTAGTCTGTACACTTAACACACAGCAACAGCCACAATTTTACTTATTTCAACAACAGAAAAAAATCAACAACACAGACAAGAGAGGTTGATAGCAAATGCATTATTTGGAAACCATTGTCCAGGCAGATACCACCCCTGCACTGTGTGCCTGCCCAACCTGCTCAACTCCTTGTGCACCCAGTGTGCCAGAGATCACGCTTGTTTTGTTCATTTGTCAAGCCAGGCTTTTATCCTGCTTATCCAGCTTCTTACTCAAGCCTTAAAATAATGCATGAAGCAGTCATCCCTCATTTCCTCTACCAAACCACTAGGAATCCTGTAATATCAAGAATTTGTTCCAAAGAAGAATAAAACCTCTCTTACTTTCATAGTAGCAAAAAAAAAAAAATAAAGCACCATGCTACTTTTAATAGAAAAAACAAACAAATAAACAAACAACAAAAAAGGGGTATTCTCCGATGGCCTATCCAAGAAAGGGAGATTCCAGCTAATAATCAAAAAGATGTCGTCTACCAAATGACATATCTGTGTAGTCAGACAACTTAATGAAATCACTGGTAATATTCATGCCACACAATCAATCAGCAGCTTACAGCTTCCCCAGACACCAACAAAATCCTGTGACACGCTTGCTTTGCTATGGAAACAACTTGATATTATATACAGTATTCATTAGAAGGGTGAGTGGTATCAGAGCTACAAAACTATACTCCCAATATACTTCTGCTACTAATAGCATATAATATACATTTACGTAAGATTATATCTTCCTTCTAATTATTTCATAAGGCAGACTTCGACTTCAAATCAAGGTGTTTTTTTGTCTAAAATTTTTTTCAATGTTTTCAATGCCTGTTTCTCCTACGGTTTTTATTTCTGGTTCCCCCAATATTTTCAGGGAGAGATAACAACTTTGTTTCTTCAAAAATTAAGCAGTGTATCTCAGGACCCTACAGCAAGACAGCATAAAGCTGAGATCCTCATGACCATTTCCTTCCACCAGCTTCTCTATCGATATGACTTTCCTAAACTTTCTGTAAGTTATTTTGGAACATAAAAATTCTCTGTCTGGCTTTCCCCCTCATTTACTTACTTGGTATCTCTAATGTGAAAAAACAGTTTTTCACATTATCCAAGAGCATGGACACAGATTTTCAAAGTAGTATGGAATCAAGCATAGTTTAATTAGACCCTTTAAATCTTTCTCTTTCTTGTGTACGTCTTAAAAAAAAAAAAGTCTGTTTCAAACAACTGACTACTATTAATACTACAGTATGCTAGCAGGATTTAGCAGTGAAACACCTACCAATATACTGAAAATGGGTGTAGTACTACCAAAACCCCAAGCTGATAAGTGATTTCTGTGCAGGTAAAATAATTCATCACTTGGTGAGACAAAGTTATGTCAAACACGGAGCACAGTCAGTGACTTAACAAAAATGCAGGACTATCATATTGCCACAAACATCTGTCTTACGCACACACACTACCAAAAATGCAACTTCAAAAAGAGTTGGGGCTCTTGTTGTTGTTTTCTTTGGGGTTTTTACCCCTATAACGATAGCTAACTCAAAGAAGTTAAACAATGCTAGAATTAAAGTGATCTAAATTTAAATATTAAATTAAAAAATTCTTTACCTTGCCCTTAAAAATAGACTTGCTATTTGACAGGGAAGTACAGCAATGACAGTACATTGCCATCTTGAGGCTGGCTAGCAGAACTGCATGTCCCAACCAAAATACATCTATTTTTTTACCAACCACAACAGTAATTTAGCCAGAAGTACCAAAGCCATTATAAAACACACAGCATTAACACCCTATGTTTTTGCTTTATTTTTATGCCAGGAGTTCTGTAGTTTCTTTTCAGGATTGGATATACTTTTAAAGGGGGAAAATCCTTAACAGTAGAACAAAAGCAAACAAACAGAGCTGTTTAGCATATTAGACCCTGTCGGAAAGAGAATCAGGACTATTCATCTCATATTAGCAAGAAAAATCTGAGGTTAAAGCTTAATTAGTAATAGAGATTTCCCAGATCCTTGGAAATTACTACTCAAGTTTAGTTCATCACCAAAGAGTGATTCAGACTAAAAGATTATCCCAAATTACTACTTCGTGTAACATTACAAAAACAGTTACACAGTTACACATTACACATCTTAATACAGATATGTTTATAACATAGGAGTGTTCATAAAGAAAACAGCACGCTTTCCAGACATAAGACTTTCTGGTGTTGGTTTAAAGGGGTAAGAATCACCAAGCTACATTCAAAAGTAGTACCTATGTAAATTGCCCTTGCAAGAACCTTTACACAAATCTCTGTAACACAAACTGATGCAATAATCTGGCACCCTGCTCAAATAAAACCTACAGACGTCAAATATGTAAACACTCTAATGTTTTAGTCTTTTTTCTTTTATCTTTTTTTTTTTAAATTAACTTCTACTTCTGAAAAGATTGCTTGGAAAACACGTCTGTTGATATTCCCAACCCTGAAACAGCATGGAATATGGTTGAATTTACAGTCACACAGGAAGCACCAAGTTGAAGCTGTGAAGTGCATATATATATAATTGATTGGTATAAATGCTTTTAATAGAGGTCAGAGACATCTGATTTTGCTTGTTTGTGAAACCAATTACATCTGTGAGGCTACTTACAAGGGCTATTGGTTTACTAAAATAGTTACATTGGTTTTTCTTATCCTCTTTGTAAGCAAACTGGCCTGTACTCAAAACCCACAAATGGCTATTTGAAGCCTGTTATTTTTACACCCAAGGTGAAGTATGTTTTCCTGAGCTATCCAGAGGTCTTTAAGCAAACAAGAAAAAGCCTCTTTGAAAGTTACCTGCTTGGTTTGGAGGCTGCCAGCCTTTGGCAGAACCCAGGGGTCCCACTGGCTTGAGGGCTGCAGCAGATGTGGTGCTGGCGGGAGCAGGTCTCGCATCCGCGTTGTCCTGGCAAGCAGGCACGCTCCTTGCTGGGGTGGCCGTAAAAGCAGCGGGCTGGGTGGCTTCCAGGGAATCACTGTTCAGAAATGAGGGAAAAATAAATAAAATGCCTCTTGCTAGAACAAGAGAATTTGTGAAATGGAGATGGGGAGAGATATTCCCTCACCCTGATGCAACAAAGCAGCACCCACTGCTCTGTCATCACCAACAAACTGTTTTTTAACAACTGGACACTTGACACTTGAGTAATGTCTGCCAGAAGTCAATATAGTCAACTAAATCCCTTCATGATTTCCATTTAAAATAAGTAAATGTCAACATGATACAGGTTAAAGTAGAACCCTTGCTGTAAATTTAGTACACTCACACACATTTTCAATACCTTTTTTTTTCCCCTTGGAAACTAGGCAAATACTCATATAGGCAGATTATACTTGTACATCTTAATAAAAATCATCAATCTAAAAGTGACTGAATTAAATGTAATATTGTTCTATAGGCCAGTGCTGCCCCAAACAATTAAATATTTCAAAAGAGTTGTAAGTTTCTTTATTCATCAAACAACATGCACAATATTTTATATTGTCTCTTTAGAGTAGTTTACAGCTGCTTTTATATTTTAAGGGCTAGCAGAACTCTTTTAGCTCTTTAAAAACACACATGATGAAAACTGAACTTAATCACAATTCATGTAGAGTGTAAGGAGCCACTAATTATGCTGCCAACAGGAAAATTTTTCATTTCTCACTTGCTTTTGGGAAGCTGAAAAAAAATATTTTCATTTTAAATATTCAAAGTAGAGGAGTAATTGCTAATGAAGGTCATTTGCAAACTAAAAAGACCACAAAACCAGGAAATTAACTCAACAATGTTGCAAAATACAGCCCAAACCATTCCAAATACATATTTTGCACAATTTGAAAACCCACCAGTTAACACACCAGAAGCCTTGTATTCTTTCCTCTATTGAAGGAAAAGAAATTTACAGCACACGTGCACCATGCGTATTTCACTGGGGTCATTCACAGAATCATAGATTGTGCCAAGTTCATAAAGTAAAAATCCATGACCTATTTTTACTTTACAAGTGCTGCACATGTACAATATGGCCTTGCCCCTACAACATGCAAGAACTTGAACACAACACGAAGCCAAAACACAAGTTCATAACCTTGATTTTTTTTGTCTCTAGATTTACAGGGTAAATAATTCATGTATTTCGAATCTTCTTATGGGCAAGGGATAAAATATATTATTCACAGTTTAGAGAATATCTCTGAATGCTCAGTTTAATGAGTAACAGCTATTGTGATTGTAGGCTTTTGGTACCAGAGGTATCTGTGTTGAACTTACACTGATGGATTTTCTATACAAAGTGTGCACAAGTCCAGTGAAGCACAAAGTGAGACCCTGCATTTTGTTATGTTCAGATGCTGAAAATTATTTAAAGACATTTGTATAGTGCAAATGGAGGCCCTGAAAGTACACATCGGTCTTCTTAAAGGCCTAGGATACAATTCTTTATTATGGCAGATTTTGAGGCAGTGGAGATACACTGCATAAAAGTGCTATTGCAGATTGAAAGAAAAAGGATAGGGAAACATTCTCTGATGTGAAGTATCAGCTCAGTAGTCAAAGATGACAAGGTAGTTTGGGATTGGCTTCCACTATGAAAAAAATTTGTCTGCAATTTCATAGTTACAGAAATGTCCTTCTGTACTGTTGAGTATATTTGACACATAACCCATCAAACCCATTCCAGGCCAGAGCTCCACTGCAACTTTAAGAATTCCTCATTAACACTGCTGGTGCTAAAAAAAGAAAGTTTCCTCCTTCTCCATCCAAGAGACTCATCACTGCTTGTCAGATCGCTTTTTCAGTCTAGCTCCTCTTTACTGCCTTTGTATTATTTATGATTTATGTGTTCCAGACAAATCATCTATCATAAAAAAGGAAATCCTGCTGAGTCAGCAGCTGTCTTGTACAGAAGAGGCTCCTTGACAAGCAAAAATAGATGTAAGACAGTCAAAAAGAGTACCCTGCAGGTAGAAGGTGGTGAGGAAGCAGACTGACCACATGTCCACAAGGTTGATTGTAATGCTGATTGGAAACTCACTATTGCTATTTTTCTGGTTTATTTCTAAGGCTTGTGAATGATGTGGTATGCTAGTTCATAGTATATTCTGAGTTGGAAGGGATCCACAAGGATCATTGAGTCCATCTCTTAAGTGAATGGCCCATATACGGATCTCCTGAAGCAACAGATTATTGGAGACACTTCATTTAGAAATTCAGTGAAATCCTAATGACCCCAAACTAAAAGACAACTATAAACCCAGGTATAAACTACCTGTGATTTTTTTTATCACCTCTGGCAGCTTATGTGCCAGGAGCATATTTTGACAAAAAGCTTCTCAAGGGAAAATCTTGAAGCCATTATTCTGACAGAGAGGATCATGCTGGCCTCAGGGCAAAACTTCTGATAGGTCTTGGACATCCTTTGTACCCTGTGTCTGGTTCTTTCAAGCAAGAGTTGAATAAACTCAGGCCGCCACCATATTTCTTGAATTACAGCCTCCAATCACAGTTGCCTGAGAGTGCACATGCAGTGTTCTCTGTAGAAAGATATATCCATCTTTGTCTTCCTTTCAAAGACATGCTGCTCCTTCAGCAGAGTCTCCCTCATGAGAGGTTCAACCTTTGAAATGCTCAACTTCAGATTCATGCTGCAAAATTAATTCCTCAACATTTTACTTTATGTTCTTCTACACTAAGAAACACTCAAATTCCAATTATTTTTATCCATCTTTATAAATATAGCGATGGATCTTTTCAGAAGCACACTTACCTTCTACAAAGTGGCTGTACAATACCCACAATTAGCTCCACTAATATTTTGTAACTCACTAGGATATTGTAAAATGATGACCCAAGTTTCACTATCTAGAAACTACATGATTTGAAGAGACAAAAATATGCACTGAAATTCAAGGACATTAACAGGTTATGGAAGAGAGCTCCCATCTGCTTTTCAGTGCCATTACTAGGAAACCGAGGGAAAAATGACAAACCTTATGTATTTACCAAGTTCCATGTGAGTACTTTCTCAGACTTTCCAGCTGACACTCATTGGTCAGGCTCAGGTCAAGAACATTTTGATATCAGAACACTTGTACTATTATTAATGACACACCTACCTTCTGTCTCTAGTATTAACATTTTAACTCTGTTTCATAACTCTGAACAACTCCTTCTCCAGTTGATGAATACTTACAGCAAATGTGAAAGTTTTCCATGATGAAAACTAATGCAACCAAGAGTCACATCCCTGCAAGATGGGAATGCTCTGCTGTCAAGCTTTGGGCAAGGAGTTTTAGCAGTGCAAGAATGAAGGAATGGTGAAACATGAGTCTGATAGACTCAGTCTTGCATCCTGAAAACCTATGAGAAGTCTGATTAACAAGCTATAGGAAGATTAGTCAAAATAATTCTGGAAGTGAGTTGCAAGGGAAACAGATTGCAAAAACAGTCCCAGAAAGATTCATGGCAAAGAAGCAAGCCAAAGATACCTCTCTATCTTTTACATATGCTAGCTTGCACATAACAGACACTGTTGTTCCATGGAGAACAATTCCTATCACACAGTGCAGCCTTTTTCTATCAGAGTGAGTACATATATGGAAAACACAACTTTCTGGGGAGCCAGTCTGAAGCCTGGGGACACACACAGGGTTCCAGTGCCAGTGCAAACTTTATCCTGAGTTCACAAAAGGCTCCCTAGACTTACTCTCTCCTGATCAACAAAAACATTGTGGAAACTGGCAAAAAAGGAAAAACTCTAGAAAAAGTAATAATTCCTCCTCCTGTGTGGGAGGACGTGGGTCGAGATCACCCATGAAATAAGCACCAGTTTTTCAGAGACCAGGTTGAACACATTTCAGAATATTTTAAGAAATTTGCACTGGAAAATCCTTCTGAATGTCTTTAGAGGTTTTGATGCTCTGCCTCTCCATCCCCCCACTCTTTTTTTCTTGAAAAAGAGAAAAAAGGAAAGAGAAAAAAAAAAACAGAAAAGAAAAACTCATGATCTGTGGCTATAGATGCCTAAACCTACCTCCATCCTTCTATTGAAACTCCTATATAATGCCACCCAGAATTTCTTCAACAAACTTTAGAAAAGCTAACTCAAGCTTCTCTCCCAAGCAGGTTCAAGAGAAAAACAAAACCAAGACAAACACAATCAAAAAAAAGGGGAAAAAAATGGTTTCTGGTACAACCAAGTACAGTATGATAGCCTTGATTCTGCTTTATGTCTTCTAAAGCCAAAATGGTTTAACAAAAATAAGACTTCCCTTGCACTACATATTGCTGCCTGATGGTTCTCTGTTAACCCCAAGCAGACAACGAGCATACTCCAGAAACCTAAACAAATGACTTACAAATTATATACACAATGTTTTGCATAGCACTAAAGAGGGAAAAAATAAAAAAGGACTTTTTTAATACAAACTTTTTAAAAACATTTGTATTAATGAAACTTTGCACCTTCAAAGTAAGGAAAGGATGACTTGTCTGCCATAAAAACCCTGTAAGTAAACTGTTGCACAAATGTTCCTCCAAAGCTTTGCAGCACAATATTTAAGCTTTGCTGCTTAAGTCATACAAATCACATGATGTATTTTGTCCAGTATTAAAATACATGATAGTTGTGCCTATATACAGGATACCAGAAAAAGGTAGGTATGAGAATTATGACAAAACTCTATGAACAGGGGAAATACATATGCCTTTTTTGCAAGGGTTTTCTGGTGTAACAATAGAGAAATAGAAGATGACAAACACTGGTGCTGACCAGTGTTCCCACCCCTACAAATCCACGGTCTCAGTCAGAATTTCCTTTTCATGCTAACCTAGCACTGCTCCAGTAACATGCAAGAAAGAAGAAACGCAAAATAGAGAAACAAAGAGCAGAGAAATTCATCTGGGTGGAGGTTACTTCCATATCAAGTTACAGGGAGGGAGTATGTAACCCTTCTGTAAGCAGTGCTCTAACAGAAACAACTCAAAGTGTCTTTGAGAATAAGTTTCTCTCAGTTAACACCAATGCTCATCTCACAAGGCCAAACTGTCCTTTTTCTAAACTAATTGTATGTGACATAGTATCAGGAAGATAAACCAAAAGTCATGTCAAAAACAAAAGACATGTCAACACTCATTCTTGCTGGTGTTTCCCAAAATTTCACAGTGCTTCTGCCTTGCAATTATTTTTAAGGTAATAAAATAAGAGCTCCAATTCTTAGACATGAAAGATATTACATACATCATTTCCTTTCCTGCATATGTGTTGTTTGTTAAAAACCACAAAAGCTCCATAAACTTAAGGTTATCTCTGTTGCCATCAGGATGAAACACTTAGCTTAGTGAAAGATTTCATGGTTGTTATAAATCCAAAAAAGGCCATTACTGAGGAGTCTGGTGGGGAAGAAAACGTGTGGATGTTCAGCACAATTTCAGGCCAGTTACTAAGTCAGAAAAAGGTCAAGTTCTCTGGCAGCTACCCAGTACAGAGCAGTTTAAGATAGACAGCTTTTTGGAGCAGATGGTGAAGTGAAAGTGATAAAAGAGAGATATTTCTGGAGCACCCTTACTGCAGAACAAAATCAACACACAGTTTTTGTTATAGCTATAATCTTCTTCAGTTTTTCCACAGAGATAATGCAAAGAAGTCCAAGCTACCTTGGTAAAATAGATTCATTACCTTTTCATGGAAGTTGTACAAGATAGAGCCAAAAAACACAAACTCCAAAGCAGTTTATTTACTTGGCTTTCTTGGTTAAGCCAACTTTTTCTTTGAACAAGACAGTCTACTATATACTGTCATATACTCATCTACTGATGAGTATACGGGACATTAGATTTCAGCTCTCCTTCTTTATCAACTGTTTAATTGTGGGAAGAAGTGAGCTGCCATTTAAAATAACATTTCACATGACATTTGTGTACATATGTAATTAGGTGGATTGTAATGCAAAGACATTTTAATACCTAGTTTCTCACACTTAACGGGTATATTTCTCTCAAATCCATTATTTTTTTCTGACATAATTGATTAGTGTTGCTTGATCTTTGTTGAAATTCAATGAGAAATTCACTGACACTACATTTATCTTCTTTTATGTCCTTTTCATTCATGTTTCTCAAGCCATACAATAAAGGCCGTCCTCCTTTATTTACTAGGACGAGACAGCACAAAGCGTCATTTCTTTGGCTCCATCTACTGGTCATCTCTTCTTCCTTACCGGTGCTGGCAGCTTGGGACTAAGGACGAGAATATGGAAACCAGAAATAACTACCCTCATATGTTGTATGACATCTCCAGATCAACACCAGCTATTTTGGGAAAAATCCTTTTAAGAAAATGCAGTTTATGCATAACATTCTCTGGACTAACCATACTGCTACATCACATTTCCCAAATTTCAGGTCATAACTTATTTGGGGTGTCCCTAACAGCCTGAAAATTATATCCTTCCTTTATGACATTATGAACCAGGGTAACCTGGCTATTGCAATGGCTTAAGAGAAAATTCATTTTTCACACATTTAAAAATTACCTTTAAAATCCCCTAATAATCCATGTTTGTTTATTTCAAGCAATTCAGCCTGGATCCAATACTGATATGGTCTTTTAAGAAGGTTTATATGGTCTTATATGGTACTCCCAGTATACCTTCTGGCTCCCTGGCACATCTCTCTCCAGCTCCGTCAGTTGGAAGAGCAAAACAGATTAAAACCCTCCAAAACTAGACTTTAACTATGGAAGAAGGAATGAAGTTCTCCACTGTTTCCTGCCTTTCCCAACAGACAGTCCCATTTACTTGTAAGTGACAGCAACCAAATGGAGCCACTTTGGGAATCTCAGCTTTCTAGCAGGAGTGAGTGAGTGCATCTCCAAAGAAAAATCTTCAAAACAAGGACAATTTCTCCCCATATGGTGAGCAAATGATGGATAAACACAGAGAAGAAAGTTTCCATTCATGTAACAATCTGCCTTTACTTGCAGCTTATGCCATAAACA